TGGATATAAGAACTGCCCTGAGTCTAGAAATAATAAAAATGTAAAAAATTTATTGATGATTGATAATTAAAAAAAAACTCATTTTTTAAGAGGTAATACCCTTTTTAGTATAGTACAATTTTAAGTATTGTGTATGGTATAGTATATTCCTAAAGTACATATATATATCTAGTAATTTTTGTGTACCTAGTAGGTACACAATATAATATATATTAATTTTTTTTTTTTTTGAACCCCAAGATAGCAATTATCTGGAGACGTCAAGTGACGCGATTTATTATTATATTAAAATTGAAATATGATTAATACAACATATAATTCTAATTAATTATTTATCTATTTGTACTTTTTTTAACGCTAATCTTTTTTTCTTTTTTAATTTTTTGTTTGCTAATGTAATTTGTAAATCTTTTGTGATTTTACCCTTCCAGATAAAAGGCAATGCCAGCTCTGGGAGAGAGCTGTTTTCATATTTTCTATTTGTATACTAACACCAAATTTCATAGATGATATTTACATGGAGCCATATTATAACTAAGTGGGGGAGTAATTCTTTTACATTGTTTGCTGTGATTATTTCCTCTATAGTAGACAGAATTGGTATATCTTTTGTAAGGTCAAACATGTTATATGCGAGTTTTCAGAGTTTTTTACTTAGACAGCAATTTAGTGTAAAGTGTTTTATATTTTGCACTTCCTCCAGACACCATGGGCAGGTTGGTAGAGTGTTTGGAGCTTCATGTGCTAATCTTGACCCAATTGGAAGAGCATTGTGAAGCATCCTCCAAAAAATATCTTTTTTCTTATAAGGGATCTATTTAATAAATTGCCAAGACAAGTTTTCTTTGTTTTTGCTTTTTCTAAAATAATTCTCTTGTGTTAGAGTATATGAGATGGATGTCTTTCTTAAAAACTCTGTAGCTTTGGCAACTGATAGTTCATTTCCTTGTTTCCTTATAATTTTTAGCTTATTAAGTTCCTAAACCAGGTCCCTGCATCCTTTAGAATTTCACCTTTTAATCTTTTCCATGCTGCTAAATACGGTTTCTATGTGTCTGGCCATCCTTTTAGTTTAATTGTAGAAGCAGATAATAGTGCAGTAATTGATTTTTTTCTTTTATGGAGCAATACTGAGCTAATTTTTTCTCTTTCACATTTTGCCTAGAAATTCTGCTCCGTAAGTAGTTTGATCCAAATCATACATAGTCTTGCATTAAGTATATCTAGAAGAACTGGAGCATTTAACCCATTTTAGTTATATGATTGTTGGTATATTGAGTATCATGAAAGCAATTTTGATTTGTTCTTTATCCATTTAATTATTATTTCATTTATTTTGTTAAGTTGTTCTCTGGTAGGTAGTAAAATATAGACTACAAACCATATTTTCAAGAGAAGTAAGAATTTAGCTATTAATATCTGCCCCCTAAAAGTTAGATCTCTTGTTTTCATGGAGTCTACTTGTTTTTTGATTTTTGTGATGATTTCTTTCTAAAGATTTTTTTTTGAATAACCTTTTTTGTCTACTTCAAAGCCTAAGATTCTAATTTTACCATTCTTGTCAATTTTTGTAAAAGTTTCCTCTCCTTGTAAACTTGTCTTTGTGGCCATCTCGTTCAAGGCTATTAATTTAGATTTTTCTTTATTTATTGTTTTTTTTTTTTTTTTTTTTGATATTAAGGTGAGGCCTTGCTCATATCTTTATTGATTAATTTATATAAGTAATTACATATCAACTATATAAAGACTTAATTTGTATAATAACAAATAAATATAAATTATACTTTATTTATTGTTATACTAGCTGCTTTTTCATATATTGTAAGTAAGTTTGTGAGAGCTGTCTAATCATGTTGTAAGCCAATGCCAACTGTTATATCATCAGCGTATGCTGAAATTTTGAAGCTTAAGCTGTTAGTTGGTGCTCCTATCAGGTGTTGATTAAGTTTTTTTAAAAATGATTCTAGTGCAATAATATATAGAAGTGGTGAGAGGAGATCTCTCTGCCTTACTCCTTTTTCCAACTAGTTTTTTTTGCTCTTTTTTGACTTTGTATTGTAGTTATTATGTCTAGAGCCGCATCAACAATAAATCTCTCTTTAACAAACCCATATTGATAACTCTCTATAATCTCCTTGTATGTAGAGTTAAGTCTAATTGCCATTATCTTCATAAAGATTTTTGTATTTGAATTAACTAAAGAGATAGGATCCAATTCCCAAAGTCTTATAGGTTTTCTTTCTTCTTTGGTATTAAGGTGATCATACTTTTGCACTATGAGTTTGGCACTATATTGGTATTTAATGCTTTATTAAAGATTTCTTTTAGAATTGGAGTGATTTTTTTAGTAAATGTCTTATAAAACTCATATGTTAGACCATCTGTGCCAGAGGACTTATTACTAGGCAAACTATTGATCACTTTAACAATTTTTTCAACATCTATCTCCTTCATTAGCATTAGGTTTTGTACTTGAGAAATTTCTGGAAGGTAATTGGTAATGTTCTCTGCTTTATATAGATCTATTGTTTCTTTTTTGTAAAGAAGTTCATATTAATTTCTTATATAATTGAGGACTTCTAAAGGATTATTTATCATTGGCTTATCTGGAATCTTAATTTTTGATATAGCTGAGGACTTGTGTTTTTGCTTGAATCTATTAAAAAAGTATCTTGTGGATCTCTCCCCTTCTTCTATCCATTTAGCATTTGATCTTATCTACCATTTAGATGTTAGATTCGTGAGTTCATCTTGTATCTCCGCTTTTAATTGTGTTGCAATTATGCTTAGATCTGTAAGGTTAGAGTTTCTAGCTATTTTGATATTAAGTTCATTAATTTGTTTGTTTAATCTTTTTATACGTTTTTCTGAAGCTGGAAAAGGTTTGAATGCCTGTATAATTGATTGAATTCGTATTTTACAGAGGTCCCAGTCTAATTTTCCTCTTTCATCTCTTAGTTACTCTATAATTTCTTTAGAAATTCTGGGGTTTTTCAGACTTCTTGGATTTTGTTTCCAAGTTGTGGGCTTAGAGATTGCTAAGTCATGATATAGAGAACACTGTACCAATAAGTGGTCTAAGTCACCAAAATTTGTCTTTACTTTTTTACAAAGCTGAATATGATTATCATCTATAAAGATGTAATCCAGCCTTGTTGACATTACATTACCATTTTTAACCTTTTGAGAATAAGTAAAAAAAGGTCTAATATTGCATGCTTCAGCTGTGTCTGTGAAACCTTCCATTAACTCTCTGAGTTTTTCTCTAGTTGGGTTACTGTGAATTGGCATTTAACTAATTCTATTAATAGTAGGATCTAGATTTGTGTTGAAGTCTCCACCTATTATATTAATTGCATCACTGTTTATTGTGGGGGACCAACTATTAAAGAAATCTTCTCTATCGGTTGTATTAGAAGGTGTATATACATTTGTTACTTGAAATTGAACATGTTTAAATAAAAAACTTGTTGTGATTACTCTTTCTTCATGTGAAAATTGTCTATTTTTTAATTTTATACTATGATTACCAGCTAATATTGCTATCTTTGAGGACCAGAGTGAATCGTAGTGCTATTGTTGTTTTAAAAAATTCTGCAATATTTGATTATTCAATTTTGTCTCCTAAATCATAATAATATCTAAATTGTAAGTTTTCAAAAGTGTAAGCGTTTTCTAACATTTTACTCTATTATTAAGTTCTTTAACATTTAATGTTGCTATTGAAATAAATTGTTTACTAGTCATAATAAAAGTGTTTAGTGATTGTTTGTTGTGCCTAAATTAACTTTCCTCCTTTTCTTTTTATTGTTTTTAACCTCAGTGAAATCCTCATCATCCTGATTAGCTCTGCATTCTACTTTTTGTGTATCATTACTCTCTTTTGATACGGAACCTCCTGGATTCGAAATTGCTATATTTGGTCAATTACCTCTTGTTGTTAGAAATTTTGTATTAGAGGTATGAACTTCTGTATTTTGATTTCTCAACTCTACTTGTTTTACTACAAATTACTCCATGCAACTATTCTTTAGCTCAGATTGAATTAATGATTTTGTTGTGTGTATATTATTTATTACTATTTGCTTAGTTTCTGCTTCATCTGATAATTCTGTTGCTTTCATTTCCATATCAGTATCCATTGGTAATGAATTTTGCAGATTAGGTACTAGAGTATTCTCATTCAATCTCTCTTCTCCAGTGTTACCTTCTAATGCTAGCTTGTTGTTTATTGTTTTTGTTATTTCAACTCTCTTATTTTTATTTTCTTTGAATTGCTTGTAATATTGATTTAATATTTTAGTGGCCTTCAATTGTTCACAGTCTTTTTTTAAATGACCTTTACCATTACAGAAGAAACAAAGCTTTGGAGCTTTCTTCCAGTCTGTGACTACTTTTTGATCTCATATATTTATATATCTTGGAATTCTCTGCGCCAAATCTTCGTTATTAGTTGTATCAAATACCACAACCCATTGATCCGATTGTATTGGTGTGCCTTCATATAAAAGAGGTTTTATGGCCAAAATTGTACCAATATTTCTAAAAACCTCTTGGATTTCTTTTGAGATTTCTTCTCTCTTAGCGATAGATACTTTTCTGAGTCTAACTAATAGAATTGAGTGATTATGCCTAGACGATATAAAGCTATAAAAGGTTTGTTGAAACATTGTTATCTCCTCCTTGGTGTATTTTTCCATATACTGTTTTTAGCAAAGATCAGTTCAAGATAAGAATAGGTCCCTTTGACAAAATGTGGTTTTGCACTAATAAAATCTGTTCCGATTTTACTATAAAGCATAGCAACTATTTCATTGATAGAGATATCTTTGAGACATTGAATGTCAAACATTAAAGCATTATTATTCTTTGTATTAATATTGGCCTAGGGAGAAAAGGTAGAGTATATTGCTCTTCCTTTTGTCAGTTTTGTGAAAAGACTAGACCATGGTTTTGCAAAGGGTGTGGAAACTTTCTTGTTTGTACTTTTATTAAGACTAGTTGCGCCTTCTTGCAGATTATGTGATAATTCGTCACCTGATCTTAAATGTTGCTAGAACTTTCCATAGACAAGGCCGTGGAATTATCCTTGTTTGACGTGGCAAAGTTTTTTGCATCTGTGCTTAAAACATTTGTAATATATACTGTATTTTCACATTCTAGAATCTTTGCCCAGTCTGTGCTTGTAGAGTTCATTTCACTACATATAGAACTTGATGGTTCTAATGCAAGTTTCTCTTCCTTGCTTGAGCTTTTGGTTTCTCTACTTTTAGCTCTAGTATTATGTATCTTACTCATTTTTTTCTTTTGTTCCTTATCTTCTTCTATATCTTGTGACTTGTACTTTCTTGAAATGAGGGCTACTGCCCTCTTTTTTAACATTTGTGGTCTGTTAGTGTTTGCTGTACTTGTAATTGTGATTTTTCCAAGTCACCTGCAATTGTATACTGCAGAGTGACTGTTGATCTTTTTTTTTAATATATATTAATTTAAAAACTGTACCTAATAAAAATATTTATTACCTAGGTTTGGTATAGTTAATATTTTAAATATATACTGTACTAGATTTATAATTTGTATATCTTATAAAATATCAATCTTTTGGGTACAGTACGGTATAGTTACCAGTAATAGTTAAAATATATATTGTGTATTTTTTTGTTTTAGAGTATAATTTAATATATATATAAAGTAATAATATTAATATTATATCAATACTATTTTTTGAATATATTTAATATTTAATTTAAAATTATAGTTAATAAAATATTTTTTATTTAATTAAAAATATACAATTTTATTGTTATATTATTAATATTATTATCATAATTATATTTAAATTTACAATTTTTAATTTAATTAATTAATTATTTATCTATAATTATATTACAATAAGAATAATTATATAGTAGTAATATATAAATATTTAATAATATTATATTTAAAAAAACCTAAATATGTAATTATAAATATCTAATTATATATTACATTATAAAATAATTATGTATTATATTTAAAAATATATAAATTTAAATAAATATCTAATTATATTATATTACATAAAATAGTAATATGTATAATTGTATTTAAAATAAATAAACTTATATAAATATCTAATTATATTATATTAAAAAATAATATTTAAAGTATTTATTTATATATATAAATATTTAACTACATCATTTTAAAGAAAATTAATTGTATACCGGTAATTATTCATATCATAATAATTTTACAATCATATAATCTATTACAAAGCTTTTTTTTTGTACCATACCTAAAAATATATATATAACTTTGGGTACAGTACACTTTTTTTTTGTATTACCTATTTTTTTTTATACCGTACCCAAATTGTTAATATTATATTTGGGTACGCTAAACTTTTTTCATTAAGTATATTTTTTTTGCATACCTAACACCAAATAAAAAACTTGGTATAATAATTATTATTTTTTTTGTGTACCCTGCTTGAAAAAATTTATCTGGGTACGGTCACTTTTCTGTACCGTACTTTATCAGTTAGTTTTAACTGTACCGTACCTAAAAGGTATATACTCTTTTTTAAAAGACTATACATAAATTGGTCATTGAATTCCCAACTTTACGTGTACTTTCCCTATAATAATAAGTGTACAAATATTTTATACTGTAAATGCACCTTTAACTAACAACATGCATTTATTAAAGGTCGACTATATTGAATTTAGAAAGTCTTCTCTTATTTCGAAATAACATGCAGGTGGGTATTAAGTAAAAAGATCAAATAACATATTATGACATTTTCCTAAATTGTTCTAGTATATAAAGTAGTTAGTGACATACGTTTTGATGTGCAAAACTTAAATGTCCAAGCACTTGTAATTAAAATTTACATAAAATATATGATGAACAAACAAGTTAGAAAATTACTGAGTAATTGCTGTCCTATGACAACACTGCCCACAGTAGGCATAGAAAAACCTTTATTAATCCTCCAAGTTAGCACATAATAAGATTCAAAAAAAAAAAAAAAATCTGGAAAAAATGATTAAAATCTTAATAGAAAGCATATATATTCAATTACTTATTATTGGATTAATTTTAGCAGTAGTTTATTTCAAACTAACAAGACAGGCTAAACTAGTAAATTTTTTTTCCT